TCAGCAATTAGGCTTACAATTTTCGAAAATACGAGAAAAAAATCAAGAAGAAATGTCCTCTTTTTTCTAGGAAGAACTCTGAGGATTAGGATAAAAACGTGTAAAAAAGTGTTTGATCTAACAACTTCAGCATGTTGGGCGACAAGTACTTTTAAGATTCTTGGAGAAGTGAAGAAATGCTTTTTCTAGGATGTTAAAGAGTCGATGTTACACCTCCTGATCAATATACTAACAAAAACTAATAACCTCTCGCTGAAAACTGAAATGATGCGCAGGTTTTAATGCGACGAGACCCATATTTTGCAAATTTAAAAGGATTATTTCAATGAGTCAGTTAAGTAAAAAAAACATTTACATTAAATGAAATCTGAAATAGAAAAGTTATGAATCTGAAATTCAGACAAATATAAAGAAAGCGAATTATGCAACAACTGATGGATAACTACATTTTTAAATTTATTTCGGGTGTTAGGTTCTTGTACTTACATCAGATACCCAAAAATAAATGAAAATTCTCTTCTAGCTCCCAAAAAGTTTCATCCAACAAATTTATTGCATTGTTTTGTCAAAGAAACACTTTAGTCCTTGAGCAAACTGCAGATAAAGATAATTTTCGCAATATTGCAAGTTTCATAGATTCTACATGAGGACACCCTTGAGAAAATCATATCGGACAAACTGCGATTTATAGATTTGAGAGATTAGGAGGAAAGATAGTAATGTTCGCTTACCCACTAGATAGAGAAAGAAAAGTTTATTGATAGTTTAGTAGAAAAACAGCGAAAGAGATGGAGCGAAAAGATTACAGAAATTTCTGTCATGCCAAAAATTTTTATTATCCGAGAAGAATCATCTAATGCATAATCATCAGAATAATCCCAACTACTCACTCTGTCTATTTGTCCCATTTGAACACAGACTTAACAGTAAAATTGCAGCAATAGAGGAAGAAAAAAAATAAATAATCTCATAAATAAACATCTATATCATCTCTATAAGCGAAAAATCAAATAGAGACCTCTTCTTTCTTCGCAAAACGACGTTTTCGTTCTGCTGGTATGGGAGTGGAGGAGGTTTCGGTTTCACAAGCAGCACATTTGCATTTCTTGGCATCTTTGAATTTAGAGTCGGCTACGCGATTGAACACTTTGTAGATTAGGTCATCGGTTAGCTCGGGAGCAGATGATACTGTATGATTTTCAATTTTGCCAAGTTCTCTGCTTGCTTTCTGCTGGATTTTTTCATCCTTGAGCTCTTTGGGTTGCTCCTTGAGTACTGTAGGTTGTTCTTCGGGTTGTTTTGAGTTTACCAAAGAGTTTAGCCAACCATTCATGCCACCATCCTTGTGTCCATTAGACTGTAGTTCTTTAGTTGTTGATGACCTTAGTTTGGTAATGGTAGAGTCGCTGTTAGTACGGTGCTCCAAATGATTATGTTTCAAATTATTGGAAATCCTCTCAGGACTATGACTCTCAGCTTTTTCGGCTTGATTTGGCCCACTTTCACCTCCTACCAAAGCTGCTACCCAATCCAGAGATATCTGCTGTATGGGTACGGAAGCAGAGCGAACTTCTTTTGTCAATATACTGTGTCGGAAAGGTTTGGGACTTCCGGCATCTCTCACAGGTACCTTGGCAGGTTCTGCAGATTTCGATAATGGGAAAATCTCATTCAAATCTATTTCTGAGCTATTTTCAT